GTATTTCCTCAGCAACCAGCACGGATCAGCTCCAGGCATGACAAACAGATATTGTCCTCTTTTGGAAGGCCAAACAAAGTAGTTTCGCTTTCACAACGAAGCACACAGCGTCTTCACGACATGGTGGCCGCAACAATACTACAGCGAGAATAAAAGTTACGCCTTCTTTCTTTGCGTGAACATTTGGGTGGCGTTATGCAAATCTTCCCAGATAGTGACGTAGGTATGTGGGGGCGTGTTAGAATGAGCCGTTTTAGGTAATTGTGGCTGACTCTTAACTTTTATAAAGAATATCTCTTTGGATTTAAGACTTTAGTCTTTGCAACTTTACAGATCTTCTTTATGCACCAAGAGCTTGTCACGCTCCAAAGAGAAAGGAAAAATTGAAATCGCATCATATGACCCCTTTAAAGTAATTTTTGTGACATAGCAAATCACATGGTTTGGCAATGCATCTACAGAATGTGACATAGTGACAAGCAAGTTTGCCTAAACTTCTCTGACTGGTACAGTCTTTAACTGATTTTAAATCATCTCTTAAAACATATTTCTTCTCTTTGGTTTTCGATTCATTGTGAGTTTATGGTATGAATCTGTGGGTTGCCCTGTGTTCTATGTCTTTGTTTGTTCAGCACTTTGGCCAGGGGTGTTTGCTGTTTTTAAATGTGCTATATAAATAAAACAAACTTGAAACTTTTCCCATATGTTGACGGGAAAATAATTTGTTGTGATTTTTCATTTTCCCATTATCAAGCCCTCAATAATTTCACAGCACAGCAATCACACAATAATGAACTTCCAGAAGCAATTAAGAGGCTATTCCTGGCACGTAGCCTTCATGAGAGGCAAATGCCTATGTGGACTAATCATGGTGTGCTTCAGAGAAGCTGGTGGATTAGGTTTTTATTTTTTGTTAATACAGAAGTTGAAATCCTCTAATCAATGCACTGTCGAGTGTACCTCTGACAGTTCCTGTAATTCAGCCTAAATTGTGCTGGACATCATTGCAGCTGGCAAGCTGCCAAGGAAAGATGAATGGAATGTTACAGAACTTAAAACAATACAACATCTGACTTTACAAGTAGGTGGGGAAGAAAAAAATTGATATGAGTTATTTTTTGTTATATTTTTATTCATTTTGTTAATATTTTTGGCATTTTTTTAGCATTGGTCAGTGAACACAATTATTTATATTCCACCCAAATCCAGACTCTGCACAGGCTAATAATACAACTGTGCAAAGCACTGAAACAAGTGTGTAAAAAGACTGCAACATATCACAGTTCTGAAACACAACAGCCATAGTAACCATAAAGAATCTCAATGTTACTGTATCATGACAGATGTCAAATCACCCCAGCCATGATCTTTATTTATTCATGAGAATATCACAATGAGCATCTAAATCTCTCCTGTGATGCAGACTAACTGGGAAATAACCAGCTGTAGTGTGAAGATAAATTCTGAAGCAATTTATGGAATAAAATTCTCAGACTACATAACAGTGAATACAGTTGACAAAACTTACAAACTGACCAATTAAATGTTGTTTTATCATATATATTCCTGGCTTTTTTAGATAGTGTTTTCATAATGAGTTATAAAAAGCAAAATACAGAACAAAAAATCTAGAGGAGACAAAGAGGAAAAAGATCCATTAAGGATCTAACAGATAAGAGATTTAAGTGTACAGATGAACCAACAGGCTTATATTGACATACATAAAATATTTCTTTAAAATAAATGATTAGGTGGACAGCAGCAGCCAGATCATATGTGTCTTACCAGTGTTATGGTCCATGTACTCTTGTGAAGTATGTTGGTTCTGATGGACCCATTCCCCATTACATTTGAAGAAGATCTGCAGGGCAGGGGTCGCACGGCAGCGCAGCTTGATAGGGTTGTTTTTGATTATGTAAGCATCCTCAGGCTCTTGCAGGAAGTGAGGTAATGTCCCACCAACTGATGACAGAGAATCAGCAAGGGCATCACTGACGGCTCCTGTGAAATCAATTAACATGTAAGAAATGAGCACACACAGATTTTAATCTTAATTTAATGCCTATTTTTGGATCCTTGAACATCCCAGGAACATCATTTGCATGTGTGCCTTTGTACTTAATTTTTTTTTTAATGAAAAATAATGCAAACTTATCTAAACGGGGTCTGCATTTAATATAGCTTCAGGTTTGTAAATATGCTGCTTTTCCTCTGGAAATGTTCTGAGCTTCCCATTGATTTTAAACTGTGTGCCAAAGAGACAATTCCACTAAAACAATTCAAACCATTTTCTACTTTAAAAACGCATTAGCTTTCCCTGAGTGCTTTGTGATGAAAATAATAAAATAATTAGCGATGGAAGAGAGTGCGACTGATTGCTTTGTGTTTGACTGATGAGCTAAAATGCATCTCAGTGCAGAAGAAAGTGAGAATGCTCTTCCTTGGGCCGAGGGTTTGTTTTATTTTTCTTTCTGCTATCATTCTTTTTAAAGAATAAAATAGCACACAGACCAATAGAGACGGAGAAGAGAAATAAGACAGGGGTGTTAAGGATGGAGGGAAATTAGAAAGATTTTATTTGGAGATAATTACATGAAAGCCATTTTAATAATTGTAATTGCCTACACCATTTCTGACACTCTGGAATAAAACTCCCCACCCATGAGAGACCAGACATATATAGTGTTGAATACTAGACGGTATACATCGACCAATAATCAGTTTTACCAATATTTTCCCCAATATTTAAGCATTTTTCTATTATCCGATATAGGTTCTGTATTATCCGATTCACCGATATATGGCGCTTTGAGAATTGTGTGCAAGACCTCCATTATGGCACTGCATCTTGAAGAGAGATGAGTCAACAACAGTGTTCACAGGTAAAGTAATTTGATTTGCTTTAATTGATATGCTTTATTTAACATATCAGCCAATAATGCACAAATAAGATGTGTTACATAAATGAATGATATGTAGTTTAAGCTTGGCATTGAGAAATGGAGATAAACTCAACGAGAGTCATGCAATCCATAAAGTTATGCCCCAAAGGCCTAACTTTACATGAGTTTAAATAAGACAGACTTAAATAAGTGCATGTTGGAAACAAACAAGCCTAATTTAACTCTCTCTGTTGTTTATGAAATGTAATTATACTCTTGTAAAGCTGCCATTCATGAGTCCCATTCACACATGATTGACGCTCAGGCATGCTCCAGTATGGCCGCCGTTTGTAGCTTTTAACAAGATCCACTCACTCAAGACTGCCTAAATTACATTAACATTTTCTATATAACTTTTATTTAGTTAATAAGCATCCAAGTAATTACAGTTCTGTGGAAATTATCTCCACGAAAGTTCACAATTTGAATATACGTTCTGTGTAAATGCACAAATAAAACCAGTGCTCTGTCAGCAGGTATTTCATTTCATAATCAGGACAGACGAAAATACTATTAATAACCCTGATAACATGCCAGTTGAGATCGACTCTCAATTTGAAATGATGTATTTGCTGTTTTGTTTTTTATTTCCTCAATGTATACTGTTTTATGCTTTCTTTATGTATGTTCTTTATTTTTGTTACAAACAGTTAAACAAACAGTTATACCTGTTTGTTTAACTGATCAAAGCTTTTATTTAACAAAGACACTTTAATGATAGTGCACTTTATTTATTTATTTATCTGTTTTTCTTTCTTTCAGTTTTAGACCCCTATATTTACTGATGTAGAAATAACGTTGTTTAGTTTGGTTTGCAAGGAGGGAGTGAAATTACAGTACTGAAAGTGTTGTAAATAAAAATGATTGTTCAGTTCAGTACTGCTGTTAATATTGTGTCAAAATCAGAAGTAAAACAATAAATAAATATCGGTTCTGCATATCAGTTATCGACCACATAAACATGCATATAATCGGTATCGGTTCTAAAAAATGTATATCCATCTATCTCATTTGAACATTGCAAAAAAAAAAAACATCTGACAGATGTGCTAAATCCCATGAAAGCCATTAAACTAGCAGCTAATTCAGCTCTGCCCACTGAAATCTAATATAATATATTTTTTTACCACCTCCCACATTTGCTGTCATGTGAAATGCATAAAGAATATATGCACACAACACACCCAAAGCAGTACACTGCTTTTTTGTGAAGTTCAAACGCACTCACTTCATATTCTCTTTTAATACTGTAGATACTGCAAGAGAATGTGACAGTAAAGACGTCAACAACTTTCTATTCATCAAAGATGTTTCCACAAAAATATTAAGCAGCACAATGGTTTTCCACATTGATGTTAATAATAATAAGAAATGTTTCTTAAGCACCAAATCAGGATCATGTGACACTGAGGACTGGAGTAATGGCTTCTGAAAATTCAGCTTTGCCATCACAAGAAAAATTCACTTAAAAAAATATATATTATATATATATATATATATATATATACACATACACACACAAATATATAATATATTTGTACAACTCTTTTGCTTTAGACCATATACAAATGTTGAATATTCAAATAAAATGTTAAGGATTGCTTTATAGTTGCTTTATAGTTATTTTCAAAGCTTTCAATGTACTCTCATTATAAAAGAACTTCACTGTTTATTTAATTATCAAAAGTATTTTTTGTAAAAACTAACCAAAATGAAAAATAATTTGCTTATAATCTCTGTACAGGAAAGGTGTTGTTTCCAAGCAAAAGGAAATATATCGGTATCAGCATCAGCTAAAGAAAACACAATATAACTTCTTACTGTATTTTGGTCAAATAAATTCAGCATTGATGGATGCATAAAGGACTTTTTATAAACATTAAAGAATACCCCAAACTGAATCGAAAATTATTTATAACATGAAACAGTACATTTTAAAGTCTCTAATATCAATCAATAATGCATTCCTAATGCAAAAAACTTTATGGAAATGAGCATCAACACAATGTGTAGACTAGTGAAGGAAGTGCAGACAGTAAAGCACTACTTCATACAGCTGGATACTACCGCATAGTCAGCTGCTATAAACCAACAGCAGATTGGCCTGGTGACCTCCAGCAATTTAACTGCCATCACTGTGCACAGCTACACTCAAGTATCATCTGTCTAGCTTGTTTGTGAAGAAATTTAGTGTTACAACTGCCCCTGGTCTCCACTACAATCTTTAGACAAATGCACTGTGATTAAGAGAAAAACAGAGAGCACCATACCATTTCTAGACAAGCTTTTAAGAGGGGCAAAAACTGCTGAAGAGTGGACATGTTAATGATGTATAAAACAAAACATGCCAACAGCACTTTAACCTCTAATTAAAAACCATTCGTTGTTGAATGCTCTATTTCTGAGTATAGAAAAACAGAAGCACCAAAGAAAAAAAGGGCATTATTCAGAGTTATATTCCCAGGTGCGTGATACCTAGTTCACGGTGAAGTGCATTATATTTTATGATATAGTTATTAATATATGTAGTTATTCTGAAAGTCGACAAAAGGGCTTTATATAATAAATAAACTCAAATACTTCAGAAATGAAAAGTAGTTACTTCACCTTGTTTGATTTTCTTTTCCTTTTATTTGGTAAATTATTTATTTGGTAAAAAGACTCAACATTTAGATTAAAGGGATAGTTCACCCAAAAATGAAAATTTGATGTTTATCTGCTTACCCCCAGGGCATCCCAGATGTAGGTGACTTTGTTTCTTCAGTAGAACAGATATGATGATTTTTAAGTCCAGCCGTTTCAGTCTATCAGTCTTATAATGCATGGCAATGGTAACAAAATCTATGAGAGTAAAAAAAACATGCACAGACAAATCCAAATTAAACCCTGCGGCTCGTGACGACACATTGATGTCCTAAGACACGAAACGATCGGTTTGTGCCAGAAACCGAACAGTATTTATATAATTTTTACCTCTAATACACCACTATGTTCAACTGTCTTTGGGCGCGCGCACGGCATCCGGTTTGTGAGGTGTGTACGCGCTCTGGTGTAGTTTACGCAAGCGCCGGAAGTGATCTCTCACGAGTATACGTCACTCATTGTTTACACAGTGCACAGTCATTGTAGGTACGACGGCTAATCAAAATGGTACTTACTTGCACTTATCCGGATTGTTCAAACCGACTTAAAACCACAGGCGGACAGTAACTAAGTACATTTACTTGAGTATTGTACTTAAGTACACTTTTTGAGTATCTGTACTTTACTTGAGTATTATTTTTTCTGGGAACTTATAACTTTAACTTCCCTACATTTGAAAGACAAATATTGTCTAAGAATTAGACAAATATTGACAAAGAATTAAAAAAAAAAAAAATCTATTAATGTTATATACCGTCATATCGCCCAGCCCTAGTTCATTTTATGCATATGCACTTCTAAAAGCTTGGTTGGGAAAACAAATGATTTTAACAAAACAGGCCTGTAGCTTCAATCACATGCCATAATTTCACTTCCATTGTGTAAAACCATGAATATCTACTTTATTCTACTCCCAAGAGAAAGGGAGAAATAAGGACACAAATCCTGCTGTGCAGTGTTGCAGAGAGGTGGGTGACAAGATGAAAATTGTATCATGAGCTGAATACGACAACATCACTTCCCTCCATTACAGAGGGTCAATGGTAGAAAAGGCAGCCGCAACCTTTGGATAGAATTCATTATTCTGTCTTGTAGATCTGCCAGTCTTTAAAACCAATGTTTAATACATGCATTGGCCCGCTTTATTTGCTTGTATCCATTCATGCAAATATCTGCCCTCAACATCACATGGTATTTATTTCAAATGTCTTTATTATTAGATTTTCTGCATGGAATATCAACTCAACAAATTACAACATTCATTTTATACAATTATTCTTCCATGTTATTACTAATACTACCCCACTAAATACTTCCCTCCCTTTTCCAGAGGGAAAAAAAAAAAAAACCCAGAGGGTTAAAAATAAAATAAAAAATAAATACATTTTAATAATAATAATATAAAAATGTAATGCT